GATAGTTATCAAACATTTCTTAAGAAAAAACTTAATATTTAACTGTTATTTTTAGTAATTAATCTCTCTATGGGTTAAGTAAATTTGACCGATCTTGCAACCACCATAAAAAAAAATTAGGAAATAAACATAAATTATGCCTCTTTCATTCTAGAATGAACACAAATTATAACATAAACATAAATGTTTAAAGAAATAGCTTAAATCTCATAACATTATACATTTATATATGTTATTTTTATTATATTGACCTTTCACTCGTGCCTAGTTAACAATACAGTAGTTACAACGACACGTCTCGTGCACTGATGTTACCATATCATATAACATAAAGGTGACCTTTGGTCTGTACAAAGTAACTTGTCTTGGCTGTGTTTTATTTGACTAGTATTTTATAAAATACAGTCACATTTCAATTATTATATATGTATACAAGTTCTTAGTTATTTTTAACTAAAAAATCAAATTACTACATCAATACCATAGAATTCTACTATAATTTATCAAGCCTAGTAATTAAGCTTTATTTGGGTCTTAAAAAAATGAAATTTCAAGCAGATTAAAGAAACAACTAGGGGGACATTCTGAGCTTCCAATTGGTTATCTATGTCATATATAGAAGTAAGTTTACATAAGGGAGCATTTCCAAAAATGGAAAGATGTGAGTGGAGTGCTACTGTTTGATTTATTACATGAGCAATATCTTAGCAAATTGAAAAGATAAGACCTTCTTCTTTTATATTCTAACTTGTCAATATCTGTAATTTGAGTTTCTAATTCTTATGAAACTATAGACTTAGTATTTTGACTTCACAAACATCTAATTTGAACCAGTGCTGCATTCAACATACCACATAACACAAATCAATGTTTATGTGTTTTTTAATATTTAATTTTAAATTAACAAATTGAGTAATGTATTAGTACCAAAGTTTCAGTTATAATCTACAGTTTGATAAAAAAAAACTTATTGACACAAATTCATGAAATAGTAGTTCAATAAAATTTTGAATGCGAGCCAACAAATGAGATGACATGGCCATTCACCTGTGACCTGTCTCGAAAGGGTTAAGTAATAATATCTTTAAGGGCAAGCTATTTCCATTATGCTGTTGGAATAGTCAATTATTAAGGCCACACAGTTGTTTAGAGAAATTTGGTTTCTAGAATTTAAAGAAAAATTACATTGAATGTGAAAATTAGTAATATTGCATGATTTTAGATAACTTATACCAGTGGCATCATGCAGCTAGTGCTCTTTTTAGGGGCAGTGCTAGACTTAATTGGAAAGTGATCCCTCACTGTTTAATGTTCATTGAAGGATTGATATAAGCTTGTGTGGTGTAATAAGATGCATTGCTAAGAGTAATACTGGTGAAGAAGCAGAAGTAATAACATTAGTTGATGAGATGTTACAATTTAACTTGTAATAGTCATGGGATGGGCAGGATTAACTATATTCAGTAGCCTACATTACAGTTTGATATTTGGCTATGGCAGGAGCTAATAAAGTTGAAACTTTTTTGTACACACCAGGAGGTGAAAATGTTGTAACTTATTATGAAAATTCTTGAGGTAAAAACATGAAAAGATTGAATCTGATTGCATTTATTGTGTGTATTTTTAAAATTTATTTTGCATAACGGTTCATAGATTTTACTTTCATTGATTTTATATTTGATAGTTAACAATAAATGTTCACTTGTTTTTTAATGGTCTGATTTGCTTAGTTGTGAACTTGTATTTAATACCACAAAGAGAAATTATAGATGTGTTTTTAAAGTTACTTTTTCTTGTTTGAAGGAAACATTCAAGAATAAATTTATCAAAGCAAACAGTTGCTGAATATCATACATTAAAACTTTTCTGATGCTATTTCTTGGTGCAATGGGTAATTTAAACTGTACTTATCAATATGTACATGTGTGTAAAAATAAGGAAATAGAAAAGACACAGTTATGAATACTATACCTTAAATTTGTTTTATTCAAATAATACCAGGCCTTCTAACATGCCATATTTTTTGGTGGCATCTGAGACAGATACTTTCTTTTGCGAGATGAGCAAATTGTCTTCTCTGCTTTCTAGTAAATTACTGTATAGTGAACATAACCTCCATTCCATTGAATAATAATGAAGGGATGTTCAAATGCTCAATACATTGAGTTTTCAAGATGAAGCATGTTAAATTGTGCTTCTTGCTGTGATTACTGTTTGAATATGTTTTAGCTGCACATTGTTTGATTTTTATATGTGGAGGTGTACATGTCTTTGTCAGTCACGTCCTGAAATAGCTAGACTGATAGTTTTAATTGGTATTATTAATTTTATGCTACTCTGATGTATGTACAGGCACTTGATGTTGTATTGCTTGTGCAGTTTATGTATTCAAGGATGGTGCTTGAGACAGCCTTTTTAACAAGTTTTATATTTTCAAAGTAATATAGAAAACTAAAATGCTGCATGGAAAAACATAATTTCAGCACCAGTGTCAACTTGTATAGATAATAATAATGATCATGAAGTTTCACATTGTTGTAAGCCATTGCCAAATGACCAGTTTCAGTATTTGTTAAAATACAGTATTTTGTTATGATAATGGCAAACAACAACCCTTGAAACATGCACAGGGATGTACACTCAGAAAACTGGCTTAGTGAGAACTGTTCTACAAATCAGTTTAGGTATATATATATGTTTTAGTGCCTTTCTTAATGTTTTAATGGATATGACAAAGTAGATAATTGTATAAAAACATGTCACTAAGTCCCCTTCAAAACCTAAATTATCCCTACTAAAGGCCCTACTTTTTGAAAAATTCTGCCTTACTATAAAGTTCTTACTTTTTGATGGGACCACTTGGAAGGCCTGTAATATCTAGTCAAATGTTATCTTGATCTTAATTTTTTTTTTTTTTTTAAGTCCTCTATAGGGTGTACAACCTTCACGGCTAGTAGCACACTGCCGGCTCCCATAGCTCGACCCCGGTCATACAGTTCATCAACTAATAACTCTGGAGAATGCATAGGTTCATACCAGAAAGCTCCTGGATCTGAAAGGGAAGACAAAGAGGTATGTACTCTCTTTTTTTCCTCTCATTTTGCCACTTCTGTTACAGGCATCAAATCACCTATCTTGGTGTGTGGTGTCAAATGGGTGAAAATATTCCAGTACTATGTAGGGCAGATGCATTAGGTGTGTATATATATATATATATATATATATATA